TTGTCCACAGCTTCAGTTTGCTCGGCTCCACAGTCAACACTCTTGGCACCAGCAGTCAGGAAATCAAAAAGCGTATCGCAATGGGAAAGTCTGCTGTTAGGGACCTCTCTAAAGTACTCAAGAGCAACTGTGTCTCTCTGGAGACTAAGATGCGCCTGATACAGGCCATGGTCTTTGCAATCAATTGTTATGTATCAGAGAGTTGGACAATGACTAGGGAGGATAGAAGGAGAATTGATGCCTTGGAGCTGTGGTGCTGGAGAAGAGTATTGAGGATACCACGGACTGCTAGGAAAACAGATTCATCCTGGAGAGGGTTAAACCAGGAGGCTCCTTGGAGGCAAGGATTCTGAGGCTTCGCCTAACATACTTTGGACATGTTGTAAGGAGGGACTGGTCCCTGGAGAGGCACATCATGCTTGGGAGAGTGGAGGGACAGCACAGGAGGGGAAGGCCCTCTATGAGGTGGATTGATTCCAGTGACTGGGGTATTCGGGATGGGTGTGTCAGAGGTAGTGCAATTGGTACAGGATAGAGCAGGGTTTAGGGCTATTGTACATAGGGTCGCTATGAGTTGCAAATGACCTATGACACATAACAACAACAACAAGATCACTTAGCCAAGAGATCTCTTGAACAGCCACCCTTTTGGTTGACAAATACATTAAGCATTGTACCACCCAGTGACTCCTTTGACCTTTTCGTCTGTCTTCTTTCTTCTGTGTGTATGCTTTTTCTCCTGCCCTGGGGGCTCAGGTACTTCTCCGGTGCCTTGCTTTACTGCAGAGGCTTCTTCAGGAACACCGGCTAAAGACTCAGTCGGAGCTAGACCGAATCAATGCCCAGTACTTGGAGATCAAGTGCAGTGCCATGGTCCTTAAGCTGAGGTGAGCTGTGATCCACTGCAGATCTAAGGAATTCTATTGCACACATATCTCCAAATCCTTCCCTTTTCTCTTTCATATTTAATGTGCCTCTACCTTGTGGGCATTCAGTAAATGTCAAACAGTAGTGTTAGTCTTTGGATTACCCTGAGACTTTCAATATCCTTTAGTCTTTTATTTTAAAGACTTCTGTAATAGGTGCCTTACTGTGAGATAAATTGCTTAGGGATTCAGACTGACCTTGTTTATCCTGTCACTACTTAGGCTGTTCTTGACCATGGACAGGTACTATGTCTCATTCCTAACTGCTGCTGTCAAGGATCTTCAGTTTGACATTTCTTTGTTCCCACTGTCAGGATGGAGGAGCTAAAGATTTTGTCTGACACTTATACTGCTGAAAAAGTAGAAGTTCATCGTCTCATTAGGTGAGAACTTACTGGCATAGTTGTTCAGAGCTTGTTTTTATATTCTTCCAGACTTTTTCATTTCAGTATGTCCTGTCTGCCCTCTAAGAAGCCAGATCTTAATATTGTTCCTTCTGTATCTGGGGTCTTAGGGACCGTTTGGAGGGGGCCATTCGCCTACAGGAGCAAGACATGGAAAAGTCTCGGCAGGTGTTGAACACCTATGAGGTCCTCGGGGAGGAATTTGACAGGCTCGTGAAAGAGTACACCGAACTCAAACAGGCAACTGAGAACAAACGCTGGGCTCTCCAGGAGTTCAACAAAGTCTACCACTGAGCATAATGGGGTCCAGGAAGCTCACCTTCCACACAGTTGCTGCTTCCTTCCCTCCTTGATAAAAGGACTAGCTCTTCCTGTGGCCACTGTCACTGCAAGGGAGTATTGGACACTTACTTAAAACACTGCAGTCATTTAGACACCTTTTAAGTTTCTCTTGTTTATAACTGTACCTCTTCTGTAGAATGTCGCAGATTTATATAATGTTTACACAGCTCTTTGTGAGCATCATCCCTGTATTGTATTTGATTATCTTTCAAATAAATTAACAATAGTACTTCTAGGATTTCAGTCATTTTCCTTTGGCAAAATGGAAAAAGAACATTAAAGGCTATGAGGGGAAATAGCAGACCAAAGTTCAGGTTTCAGAAAGAAGGTAGTTTTGGGATAAAATTTGGAGAAAAACCACAAAGATGGGCAGGGAAAGGGGAAAGAATGTACAGTGCTAGAAATGAGTAAATAATATATCAAAGTAAATTGTCATTGTAAGAACAACACTGGTTACACAAAAGGTGAAAACTAGAAGAACCTACTTGGCCACCTGGAATCTTCTAGTCTTTACTCCAAGCAGAAGTGAGTTTAATCTAGAACTTGCTCTTGAACTGTAATTCCCAGAGGAATACTAGGTGCTCAGGCTAGTAGGGGACTGTCCTGTCACTGTGGCTATCAGTGAGGTGATTATGATAAAGCAGCCACGAATCTAGCTCTGTTACATGACAAGGCACAAACTACTTGTCTTCAGTAACCCTCAGGTTGTTTGAGACTTGCATGCTCATCAGTCTTCAGAATCAAAGTGGGTGGGAGGAAAGCACCTTGAGGAACCAGATTCCAGAACAAGCAGGCCCTGACTGGTGTCAGAGAGGGGGGCCATGAATAGAAACAGAAGCCTCTACCATATTTACTAGAAAGAGTCTACAGTGCTTACTAAGCATGTTCTAGGGAGACTGACTTACGGCATTCTGCTGTTAAGATAAAATTTTGATGGTTTTGGATTACTTTGAAGAAAAAAATTAAGGTCTGTGACTCGACTTTAAACTTTTCTCCCGTAGATAGTGCTAAGAGAGAGCTACACTGGCCTAGTGGAAGGAAGCTGTGCTACCAAGCCGAAGGTGGGTGATTGTCATCTGTGGCCCTCGGCCAGGTTCAAATTGTCTTCCTGTCAAACATTCTTCTAGGTGGTATAGCACTGGTCTGTGCGTTGCTGTACAGAGGTAACTCGTGGTTGCTGTGATGCTGAAGCCTGTGACAGTGATGTGCCAATCGTGGTAATGGGTACCCATGGTGGACAGTGTTGGCTGGAGCTTCCCGACTAAATCAAGCCTGGAAGCAAGAGCGGCATCCACTTCCAAAATGGCTTGCCTCCGGAAACTCTATGTATGAACAGTGCTCAGGCTGTTCGTTCATAGGGTCGCTATGAGTCGTCTACGACTCGACGGCATTAAACAACAACAACAACAGATAGTGCTTGCTTAGCCATTTATAACCAAGTATTAACCCCCACAAAATTAACAAGTAGCATACAGATTAATGGAAAAATTAGAAACATTGATACTGCTTCATTTTTATCTTTTTCCCCAACATGTTTTAGGGAAAGTTTTCAAAGCCATGGAAAAATTGAAAAGTACAATGATACACATATACACTTAACCTAAAATCAACATTTTACATTGCTGTCTTTCTTCTTTTTGCCTTTGTTTTCTGTATTATGTAATATATACTTACATGTATACATATATATACATATATAATATAATTTAAACAACGACAAAGGGAAGAAATATTGAAATAAAAGAACTGAACAGAGTGAGCTCTGGTGGCCTAGTGGCAAAGAAGCTGTGCTGCAATCCCCTAGGCATGCAGTTCAAATCTACCAGATGCTCCACTGGAAACATAGGGGTAATCTGTGCCAGTTGGATCCTATCCGACGGTACACAACAAGAAAAAGGAAAAGAGGAAGGGAAAAAAAGCTGAACAGAAGATTTCAAAGAGCAGCTTGAGAAGACAAAATTTGGAGGGCAGCTGCCTGGTCGACTGACTGGAAGAGATCCACATATTTTGTTCCCATTCCCAGGAAAAGTGATCTAGCAGAAAGTGGAACTTATAGAACAATATTACTATCACATGCAAGCATGATACTGCTGAAGAGAATAAAACATGGCTAGAATAATACATAGACAGGGAACTGTAGATGTTTAAGCTGGATTTAGAAGAGGATTTGGCAGTAGGGATATCATTGGTGATATCAGATGGATCCTGGCTGAAAGCAAAGAGTATCAGAAAAATATATATTTATACCTACAACCAGGAGAAGATAAAATAGATGAATGGGACCTTCTAAGAATCAAATCCCTTGGCACATCCCAATAACTTCTCAAACAGGGTAAAAAGGGAAGGCACAGACTGGGAAAAAGTATATGATAATGACATATCAGATAAAGGACTTATATCTCTAGAATTTATAAAATACTTGAGCACCACAACAAGATAAAGGTAAATAATCCAATCGAAAAATGGGCACAGGATATGAACAGCTTCACCAAAGAAGACATTCAGATGACCAACAAGCACATGAAGAAATGTTCAAAACCCCCAACTTTAAGAGAGATGCAAATCCCATCTGCAACAAAACCAAGCCCTGCCCAATACTGTGCCACCATAGTTTGTAAGCTGTTTGTTTCTCAAGTACTTTGTAAAATGCCTGTAGTTTTGGTAAACTTGTAGATTAGTCTTTAAGTTTAGTTTTAATTTAGTGTGATGCCAGTTACAGGGGTTTGTGTATATAGATGGGGGTGAGGGTGGGGTGTGTGTGTGTGTGTGGATTTATTTTTGGCGCTCTAGTCTGTGATTTGTAATTTCTCTGTGTTTATTTCTCTCGCTGTCAGATCCGTTTGTGTGATCTGAGGGAGAAAGGGACACTAGTCTGGACGGGAGGATATTGGTAATAGGGACTCAACCTCAGCAATGGAGGGTGGCATGTGAATCTGCGAGGTCCAGGCTTTGAACTACCTCAAGAAGAGGAATCTAACGTAGCAATGTCTATAAGGCGCCCAGGGCCCCTGGGTGATGACACTGTGCATATGTAGCAGGATTGTAATATCCTAGCTTAGCATAGTAGCAGGAGGTTTCTAACAGCCTTCTAACACCCTAGGGTTAGTGTAGTATTAAAAGGATTGTATAACGTAGATGTCCTTCTGTTAGGGCTAAGTTTCTCCTCTGGTGTGGGATTACTTTTTGTGGGTGGGGGGTGGTAGAGGAGAGATGCCAGTGTGTGCTGACCCTACCCTAGGTGAGTCCTGTGAGCACCTGGTGGAGCCCATGCTCCTGTCACGTGGCATTTGTGTTTGAGTGAGACTGAGGGGTTGACAGCAGCTGGGATGCCTTCTTACTTTCATTCTGCTTTTGAAGCAGAGCACTTTGACGTGAAGGAGGAGGGCTGCTGCCGACAGTGGTCTTGGCTCCAGGGGCTGGCACTGCCCTGGGGAGCACCGCCCCAGGGAAGGGACAGGCAGAATGGTGGCCTTGGGCTCCCAGATGTCCACTAAGCCATGTCCATCCAGCCTCTGCTTTGGCATGTACCCCCTTACTACTTTGTGGGCCCTCCCCTTCAGCTCCCACTCCAGTCTGTATTAATTGGTGTTGGGAAATACAGACCAACAGCGATTTCTGGCAGCTGGTGGAAGAGGCTTTGTTTTACGCCGTCTCTGATTAGATTGCTTCCCTCTGCCCAGCACACAGGTTGTCTCTGAATGGCCTGCGCTGCTGTGCCTGGTGCCTCACCTCCTTTGGTTCCTTCATTCACGTGTGTTCAGATCCCCTCTTCCTGCCCAGCCCTGAACATGTGAACCCCTTTCCTCTGCAAGACTATTAGTGTCCCCTGATTTGGATCTCTCCCCCCCCTTGGCTGTGCTGTATACCCACAATAAGCATGCATCAGCCCCCGTTAAGTGTGTGTATACCTAGATAAGCCTCTGCTCCCCTCAGTTTCTGGCAGGCCGGCGCCGACTCCTGGCAGTCTGGTGTTGGCGTAGAGCTGCACCCCACAGGGTTTCTACTGGCCGAGTTGCATCCCCAGACTGGCCTGCCTCTGGCTGGATTAAAACCTCCCTTCCTAAAAAAAAAGAAAAAAAAACAAAACCTCCCTTCCTTCAGTTAGCAGCCAGGCACACTAACCATTTGCACCACCTGCAGACTTTTTAAAGAGAGACGTTATACAGCCAGACTCGTTGCCATCAAGTTGGTGTGAACTCCTAATGAACCTACAAGACAGGGTAGAGTTGGCCCACAGCGGTTCCAAGGCCCGACTGCCACATCTTCCCAGGGAGTAGCGGGTGAACTTGAACCACCTACCTTTTGTTGAGTGTACCCCTAGGAGTCCTCTTCAGACAGAGGCGACTCGTGGTGGTGGTGCAGGCCAGAGTGACATAGCCCGCAGGGTTCCCAGGACTGCAGCTCTTGAGGGGAGCAAACCGCCTCGTCTCTGTCCCACAGGGTAGCTCGTGGCTTTGAAGTGACAGCTTCTCAGCAGCTGAGCACTTAAACCCTGCACCACCAGGACTCCTCTTTAAATATATGAAGATTATCTGTTACTTTTCACTTAAATATAATAAATATTTAGTCCTGTGAGTGTGTGTGTATATGCATGTATACTAGTGTATGGTGTTTGGCCCAGAGACCCACGGCCAGTGAACCCTCTTCAGTTTGAACGAATCAGTTAAATAAAGCTTTGGGAAATTGCTTTTTTTTTTTAAAAAAAAAAGATGCAAATCAAAACAATTATGAGATATCACCTCACCCCAGTCAGAGTAGCAAAATTTAACAGAACAGCAAGCAACAAATGCTAGCAAGGTTGTGGAGAAACTGGAACTCTTATTCACTGTTGGTGGGAGTGTAAAATTGTGCCACTGTGGAAGGCATACAGTATGGCGCTTTCTCAAAAAGTTGCAAATAGAGATACCATTTGACCCAGCAATTCTACTACTGGGAATATACCGCAAAGAGAC